TTCCCTTGTTTGCGGTAACAGAACGCATAAGCTTAATTTGTTATGAGCACGTTTTATTAGGAAAAGCTGATAGTATAGCGTAGGTTGACGTAATACAACTTTAATATGCGGGTTATTCTCATACATGTAAAATTAATTTCCGCTCCTCCACCACATCTGACTTACGAATCCTTCTAGCATTTCCACTAATGACGAATATGAAACATGAGCTTAGTGGTCGTGGTGATAAAATACGAGCTAAAATACATTATTCAACACTGTCACTGACATTTTCTAGAATCCGCTTGGGCATGTCCCTGTGCGAACATAAGAGAAAATCTCTCCGTGTACGTTTACACCACAACAGGTTCCTTGTTCTTTCTTTGTGCATATCGTTTCCATTACTAGTGCTTCTATTGTCGTTTGTTCGTTTTTATTATGGTTTGCCGACAGATATCGTTAATACATTGTTGACAATTTCTGATTCGTGACTAACTCCTTGATTTTTATAGATTTTTTAGTAAGTAATTCATCAAAGGAACGTTTTTGTACATGATTATACAGACTATTATAAATGACTCCATCATGCGCTCATTTCGTACTTACATGTATCAACAAATTGTTAGGATAAGAAAAATTCGATGTGATACATCGAAGCAGATCACATACACTGTTACATATCTCTACAATTATGTTACCGATTAGAGGTTCATGTAGGATAAAAGTGCATAGATAAAAGTATATTTTTTGTCGCTTTATCTCGAACTCGTACCGATAAACTAATAATCATATTTTGTCAGAAACATGGTAAAAAGGTTTATGTGGATAAGTATGTACAGAAAATGTTAATGATTTATTTGGGTATGGAGCTGTGTAAGAGTGTTGAGAATAATAAAGGACTGAATCCATATGTTTCCATTACTGAAAGCCCAGTCAACTTATCAAATGGTCTGTCATGTAGATGTTTCAAGCTAAGATATTTGTTATTCTTGACATCTTGATAAACCAGACTATCAAATGTACTTGTTCATTTTCATTGATCTTAGAGCTCTCTTGCCAAAATCGAGATTTTAGTTTATCTAAGCTCACTTTGCAAAATCCGCTATGATACATTTCTGTGGGAATATATAGAATGTCTCTCTACGTACGTTTTTCATTATGACTGCTACATTGCTGCATCTAGTGATTTTGCGTTTTCAAGCGTTAGTTTCCATTTTCAATCTGCTTCCAATTATTATTACTATGATGCTTACCAATCCTTAACCCTAACTAACTCCCTGATATCGACTCACTTAACGTTTTCGTGTCGGTTTCCATGTTGAACTGCTGTACCGTGGTTCATAATTTGTGAACTGATTGCCTCCATTCCATTTGGTTAAGTTGGAATCATGTTCCCTGTTTGTTTTGTAAAAGTTTGTTATTGGCAACTATTAACCAATCGTACTTCTTACTTAATTGTTACTGTAGTAATTTTAACTTATCTATCCCTTTTCTCTGGTTAAAGTATTATTGTTTAACTGATAAGGATATTTCCCTTATTATGATAGTTGATTTTTGTCAAATATCTTTACCAGCCGGAAACGTATCAGTCGAGTATAGTTAATTTTATTTATAAATACATTTTTCCACTGTACTCCATCTGTGACACTTCCAATGCCTGTCACGTCGTTATGCGAAGTTGTTGGTTATTATCGTCCTTTAAACGGCTGAACTCTAAGGAGCATAATTTTCAGAATTTTGAAGTAGCCTAGTGCTTTGAGCACTTATTTGCACCTCGTTCATATTGTCAGTATTGATTTATGTAAGGTGCTTAGCTCGATTGGGAATATACTGGATGTATATTTTGGAACCGGATAGTGAACTTTTCACAAGCTTCTGGACTGAAACGTTACCAACCGAAATTGATACTTTGTGCACACCGAGCTGGGCCAATTTGACATACACTAGGTGATTAAACTCGGTCCTCTCGTCGATTGTTGTTGAACCTTAAATTTGCTTCGCTAGTACCATTGCGTCGTATTGTTAGATAGTGAAACAAAATGCCTACACGTTTTTGTCTTCAATAATGTATGCACATAACAGTGTGGCAGTTAGGCTTAGCGAGTTTTCTGTATGCTGTGCCATTTTGAAAGACCTTTGTCTTTCATTAAATCATGATATAAAGCCTAATCTATAAAACCTTACGCGGAGATCACATAATTATACACAATAACCCATCCCATTATAAGAATCAACGATATTACGTTCAACACTTCTGAAGAACATGTTTAGACTGGGTAGAGAGTAATATATTTAATACAAAACGTCATAGGTTTTACATAGAGTGACCACGCCTTCATGACTTAACTGTGCCATTTCGATTCACTGTTCTTAAGTTCGCGATTATTGACCTACTCCATGTGTTACATATTGAATGTCAACCTTCCTAGTGATTATTTTTTTAGCCTCGTGAATCATGTGATGAAGAACCAATACCACTACACTACTCCCCCACCAGAATCAAGGTGACGTTGGTTCCATATCAAATAGAGTTGGATTATTGCGCGCGGGAGATTACCAAATGAACAATCCCCAGGTATCGATAAGCTGAAAGATAAATCATAAAGAAGGCGGCAACAGTTGGTCGAGAAATACATGTAATGACTTCAAAATATTTGGTATAATTCTCAACACACTCAAAATGGGAATATACGTGGATGTTATTTGAGCGTTAAACAAAGTGGGATTGAAGGCAGAGTAGACAATTCGATAATATACGAAGCCTACTCAAGACCCTATGATACCTGAAAAAAAATAATAATACAAAAAAGATGAAAAGGGCTCCAGTAGCTTCGATAAAGAAGGAAGATAGTCAATTGTATATCACAATACTGTTTTTAGAACTATATTTTATAACCACACATAATCCCATACTCTCAGCTCCTTTCTGAATCGCCTCCTTTTGTCAATTGTATGTCTACTCATACCTTGTTTACATTTATTTTCTTTAACCTATTAAAATGCTCTTGTTTAACAAATACCTTAATAAAAGAAAATTAGACTGAGTAATCATACCTTAAACACTAAATACGACATGCAACTGGACTCACCTAGCTGAAGGCGCTCGGTCATGCATCCGCACCAGATCACGAATGGGGACGCCGTGCTCAACATCTTCTGCAGTCGCTTGCCAGATTAGATCAGACGATTCTCGATATATTGATAACATATCAAATATATCTTCGAACCTCCTCGCTTCTGTCTTTTGATTTTCGCTTGGTGGGTACTCTTCATATTAGAACGTGTTACTGGTTAAAGCGTTGTTAAACTCTGAATACCTGTGGCATCTTCATTGGTGAGCCCGACGTGATTCCTAGAAGTGGGATCAGACGACGGAAAAGATCAGATTGAACTGATGTCCGCGGTCTGTAGTGATAGTTGCAGGGCAGCCGAAGTTTGCTACCCATCGTTCGACGAAGGCGCGAGCCACTGTTTCAGCAGGGGTGTCCTTGATAGATACTGCTTCTGGCCATCGAGTGAAACGGTCTACGTAGGTTAAGAGATAAAAGGATCCATTTAAATCTGGCAAAGGTCTTACGAAAAGCAGATGAACATGGTCGAAACGAGTGTCGAGAGTTTTAAATGAGCCTAAGGGACATTTATTGTGTCTGATAACCTTAGAGTTTTGGCAGATTACACAGTAGCGTGCGCACTCCCTCACGTCAGGTCAGCAAAACCGTTCTGCTATAAGATTGATGGTTGAGAAAGTTTGTGCAACGTACTGAAGACGTTGTGTCGATAATGTTTCGGCACGATTGGGCGATCCCTACCTGTCGATGTGTCACAAAGCGAGGTTTCCTTACCTGCTCCTATCTGTTTAGTGCGCAGTTTAAGGGTTGTTAACGATAACTCGTGCTGAAGACCAATGTCTTTTTCTTGAAGCTGAAGGTCGATTCCTTGGAAACTGTTCAAGGAAGTGTTTTCTGCAATTTCTGGAAGACTTTCCATACTGGTTATGATACCAGCACCAGTCGTGTTTATCCGTCTCTCGTGGTCTAGAGATAGATCGCTTACGTGAAGTGCTTCTCCGAGGGGCGTGTGACCGTTTACGGTTGTTACGAAACTTAAGGTAACGTGTAAGTGTATGATATAACTCTGTTATAACATTCTAGGTCGTTTGAGGCTTTTCTTCGACTGAAAAACCTCGGTATTAGAAGATTTGGTGATTTCTAAAGTGCGGTTGGTAGATGCAGCCAGCTCGTCTACGGCATTGTTGTGAAACGAGACCAACACGGCTTGCACCTGCTGAGGAAGTTTGGATGAGAAAAGTTGTATGAATAGGCCATTATCGAAGGTTCAATGGCCGATAAACTCTCTCATTCTTTGCAACATGTCTGTCGCAGAACCGTGTTGCAGGTCAATGATATTAAGGAGTTGGTCTAAACTCTGTCGACCGGTTAGGTCTCCGCATTTAAGGATAGCTCGTTTCTGTATTTCGTAGGGTTAAGAAAGATTACTAGTAAACATGCTAGGTGTTACGTACCTGTTGAATTCGAGCGGTAGTGCTTTGACTACTGTGAGGAATTGTGCACGTGTGTCGATCACGCCGTGCTCGGAGAAGTCGTCTTCCGAGTAATAGAACCAGGCTTCGATGTTGTCTGGCCAGAAGGGCATCAGTTGGAACGAAGGTGGGGACAATGTTTTAAGCTTAAGTACTTTGGGTGTCTGTTCAGTCATGATGAAATATGAAGTACGAGAACGTATGAGGGAAAAAATATATATCCAAAAACTACGAAAAAATATCACAATGTATAAAAAATCAAGATAAGGCAATGATACATAGAATCCCAAAACGGAACAGAATCACAGTTTGCGTTTTGGTGTACCAGATCAAATTAGGCTCACCAATGAACATGCCACAGGTGTCTAGTCCTAAAACTGACTCACGTTGATATTAAGGACTCTCAGAAACCTACTAGAAATAGACTAAAACAAGTTTTCGGCTTTTTGTTCTCAATACTGAGATTTGAAAAAAATCGTTAATTTTATGATTGTGCGTTACGTCAAGGTCAAACTGGTAACGCTTTCGGATTGCGCTGCTGGATTGAGTGAGTCCCTGATGTGCTTACTTTGTGTTAAAAATATTTTAAAGAAATAGTGACTTTACTACTCTTCAATATATAAAATTATCTGTTAAACGATCATATTAAGTTCGAGCATGAACTCCTGAGTTTGCAAACCCTACCGTTGGTACGTTATTAGTTGACTCCTTCAATTTTCGGAAAGTACCTTACCTAATGAGTCATTTAGAAGCTCCGATTCCTCAGATATCAGTACCTACTGCAAAAACTGACCCAACCCCACATAAGTATTTCTCTTCATATAGGCGAGTCCTTCAGAAAGCCAGTCACCATATTAAGGCTATTTGAAAACCATATGCATAACAGGGTATTTTCACTTCGAATCTGATAAACATTTTGGGCCTGTCTGCTCGTTCCCTTCCTGTGTCTTACAGGACAAAATATCTTCAGGAATGTCCTCACCCCTCTTATTAAGAAGGCTACCATGTCCTGGTATAAGCCTGTGTCTGAGGAAAGTCATTTTAATTTTTTTTGCTCATTTTGAACTAGCCATAATGCTGCAACACTGTATTTTAACGTTGTCTCGAAATTTTATGGCATAACAATTTTATCCCGTCCTCAATTTTTAGACGTAACTGCTAGAATTTCAATAACCCGAGCCATAAATGTGTAAGTAGATCAAATAATTAAATTTCGCCTGTTCCGTATGGTATGGTGACCATTCCTTGACTAGAGGACTTGTAGACGAGAATATTAGGAAATTCGGCACTATCTTTAATAATACTTTAACCGTGATTTTTAAAGACAGTAAACTTCCACACTGGACATTCAGTTGTCATTCCAAATGGTGGCCATTCACCATAATCATATTTAACTATAACCTTTTGCCAAATAATTTCTTTAACAAATCTAAATCCAAGAGCTTATTGTTCAGTAGTCCCTTTCCATTATTGAATACCACTATTCAGTACTTGTTGTAATTGGAAACTATAACGAATTCTCTGGGCTATTACCTTCAGTCACTGTTCTAAAACTTCCGTTAATCAACTTGCTTAATGTCATTCATTTCGGAAAACTTGAATTTTATTTTTTAATCTCAATTTTCATTTCCGTGTCATCAACTGCATACTATCTCAAGATATCCCGTAACCTTATTGTTACAAATACGAAGAGGTTTGCCTCAATTGTCTTTGCTTTCATTCATGTGTGATTATTCTAAATTACGTATTTTTGTGCCAACTGATTCAACAAGGTTGATGACTTCAGAACTATTGGTTGGTTAGGGTATGAGATTAGATATCAATCGAATTTAGTCTTTACAGAAAAGTCCTCCCAATAACATTTGAGCAAAGATTTTTCTTTTGTCTCAGTTAAAATAAATACTGGCAGTTGATTTACACATCACAGGGAATCAATCGCTATTTAATAATGACTCAACTAATAAATTTCTTTAAAAATTATTTCACTCTTTAGATTTATTATCAACAATGAGTATAATTAGGACATCTCTTGGAGTTTTAAGTCTTGGATTTGGATTGTTCACTGCAGAAGCTTTGTATTCTGGAAATGAGCACTTCTATAAGGATTGGTTTCTACCTACTGCCCGTATCTTAGTCCGTGATGGTGAAACTGCCCACAATTTATCAGTTTACTTAGCAAGTCATGGTTTTATACCACATAAACCTCGAAACTCATTCCCTCACCTCAAATGTAAAGTTTTTGGACTCGAATTCGACCATCCCATAGGATTAGCTGCAGGTTTTGATAAAAATGGAGAGGCATTTATGGGTCTCTTAAATGCAGGATTTTCACATATTGAAGTTGGAACTGTCACCCCGGATCCTCAGCCAGGTAACGCACGTCCTCGTATATTCAGATGGACCAAGAAAGAAGCGGTAATAAACCGGTAAGGATAACTTTCTACTTTGTAAAGTAACTGTTTGAATCTTTCAGTAGCCCATAACAATCATATCTAAAGTGTGATTTACTCAGTCTGTTTTAATGAATAACTCTAAATGGAAAGTTATATTAAGCAAATAATGATATTTATGGATAACTTATGTACATACGAACTGAAGCAATATCATTGTAAGTATTGATCTTTGTTTTATTGCTCAGTTGGCATTATTCTATTTGTCTCACTCATTCCCTACACCTATGTGAACTCACCGTCCATACTTCATACAGTTAAGCTTTTATAAACAAACGGACATCATCAACTTAGAACCTGGTACAGATGTGCGTTGGCTTATAGCCATACCAAATTAGCATGGCAAGATAATAATAACAGAAAAGATCGATATAATGTGGCAACAATGATAAGATAGAAGACTAATTCTTGGGAATATGGTTTGAAAAGTGGCACACTACACTAATATATTCACGGCTCCGACTCCAGTATAATGAGTCACGCTACTTCTATCCAGCGCTTCAACCGGGTTAGTGAATATGGAGGGTCCACTGAGGAAAGTTGAGAAACCGTGATTCCAAACCAATGGTGTACAAGGGCTCCAACATCCTGAGGGAACAAGTGGAGTATAAACCGATCGTTGGTCACCGGCTACCATGAGACTGCATCTTCTGACGTAGCTCCACTGCCTTGTGGATTAGACCTTTAGGTCAAGGGCTCGGGGTGTGACCTCCTAAGAAAATGACCTGTTTCGGTTTGCGCACCCTGGCAGTAACCCGGCTCTCACATAAACCATTTGATTTATGTGGCGCATACCAGTTTGGTGCTTCCTTGTGCCAATATTTATGTGTTTAAATTATAAATAAATACCCCCGCCACAAGAAGGAAGTGAGTAGGACTTCCCTGGCAGTGGCTGTATACGCGTAGTCATGTGAGAGCATTTCGAGAGGGAGAGATAACTTTCCCCACCCTCGGCCGTACCAGTCTTCAACCACAGTTTACAGTTGAAATGTGGACCCCAAACAGGTAGTCTGCATTTACCAACATGATCCAAACCAAAGCTCAATTAATTCATGGATTGATGCCATGTTTTGGTTTATCCGCCCTCTGTTGTCTTTCAACCTACTTCTGCACTACTAAACATCGCTTATTGAGGTAGGCAATAGTCGGTCTTACGTAACATATATCCTAACCATATCAATCAATGATTTCCAACCTCATCTCTTGCCAACTACTCTATGTTTAACCTCAACTTTGCCCACTCGGTTGTTTCATAAAACGTCAGAAATGTTCCAAAGACACCTACAATCCTAAACTTTTGGCTAACATTTGTCCTCTACTTCCATAGACTATATTTTACAGCCATAAAGTACAATAGAGCAGACTGTCAGACACTACAGGTGCCCTTTGATTGGGAGACGACTATTTCGACTCCGCCTGTAACCCTGCTAGGGTTACTGCCAGTCTCAAGTCCGAATAAAGGAGCAGGGTTGAGCATAAAGTCACCAACTCCATCCCGTAGAAAATAACCTTGCTAAGAAAACGTTGACCAGAAAAAATCATTTAAACAACTTAAACTCTGCCCTAAAGGTTGAAGAGTCTCCATATATAATAGTTATGATGCCTCATGATGAAAGCCGAGATTCTTCGGAAATCATGAGACCGATGTCCTTTTCATAACCAGAGTAACAATTATTATAAGTACATAGAATGTCCGAACAATTTAGGAAACCGTGAGCACCAAGCAAATAGCCGCAAAAATGAGGGGATACAACTCGGTGGTTCTCAAAATAAGTGAAACCCATTGAACGCAAGCTGGACAGAAGAGATTAGCTTCGGGAGAAGTGCTGTTGTATACTCAAGTAATTGCACTAATCCTTTCCAGAGAAGCACGAAGAGCACTTATAGGGTGGGAATTTCATGGATCCGTAATCATCAAAGCATCCTTCAAAACATGCTGTCACCAATTCAGCTGTTGAAGCATATTGTGTGATCATTTGGTACGTTATATAGCATTCTGTTATTACTGGAGTCTTTTACATTTAATATAAGACGTACTGTTTAAGTGTTTATGGACTGACTTTGAGATACACCTGTCGTGTATATCAATTTTACTAAGTGATTACCTCAAGCATAATGGATCGGGCGGGTTTCTAACCCTTTAGTTAATACTTCATAGTCAAACATTAACACACTGATCGGCGTATTTTTACCATCTCAAATACCTTCACGCATTTAAATGATTTGCCTGTTGTGACAATCGAATCAAGTTATATTATCTGTATTGTATTTTCCTAAGTGTTACTGGTCGCATTCATTCATTCTCCATTCTGTTATCATTTCAGATGTGGGTTTAACAGTGACGGACATGATGCTGTATATGAAAGACTCAAAGATCGTCCATGGGAAGGTAGGCTAATTGTAAGTATACTGATTTTACTAAATTTAAATATTCCTTCATATTTTTGTCATTGTATTTATCATTCACAGAAAGTTTTCATTCAATTGATTTTCTTCCCCTACTCTTTTGGATTTGTTCGTATATTCAAGTTAAATGATTGTTTAAAGTTTGCAGTTTTCATGTTAATCATGTATATATACTGACTTATTTTGTAAACTGTTTTAAGGGTCTGCTTGATTTATAAAGTTCTGTCTATCCATGTGGTCCCAGTGCCTTGCACACAATATATGAACATTCACGTGAATGTTTGACTTAATCAAGTAGATGTGTATATGTGGTAACTAGTAAAGTAGCTAATTATGTTTATATATATAACATTTTCTCAATTTAACCTGTTTTAGGCCGTGGTGTAATTGGTGTCAATTTAGGCTGCAATAAAACAAGCACAGATCCAACTGCTGATTATGTGGCAGGTGTTCAAAAGTTTGGCGAAGTAGCTGACTATTTAGTAATCAATGTGTCTAGTCCAAATACTCCAGGACTACGTTCCCTACAGACTAAAGAAAAATTGCGCGATCTCTTATCTAAAGTAAGTTTAGCACATACCAAATACGGAGATTGTTACTTGGTATAAATGTTTAAATCAAATTTCCAGCTTTGTTTGGTGATGACATTCAGACTGAATCTCTGAAAGTCAAATAACTCAGTAACTTAGAGTAGTCTCAACGGTAATGCTGCGAGAACGTCTTGCTTTGCTCGTTGTGTTGAGTAAGCTTCACTTTTGTGGAAAACAATATATTTATTATTCATGTTCTTAAACTGTATGCTCTCACAGTTTATTCTTCTGGTAGTGATACAGCTTTAACTTTCTTCCATCCATCTCCAACACTAGTCAGCATTGCGCACCGTGGTAGTCGGCGGTTGCGCTTGAGTAATACGTGGCCCAACCATTGCAGTCGTCAAAGATCCACAATCTCATCAACTGATTCACCATCATTTTCTAATACCCTGGGTCTAACCTCACTATTACTTACCCGGTGATCCCAGCAGATGCTGGGATATATTCCGAAGACATCTGTGATCAAATATTAGTAACTCACGGGTGTTCTCTACCCTTAACAACCGTGTTTCGCAGCCGTAAAGTAGAACAAGACGAACTGCAGCGCACTATACTTGTTCTTTAATCGATATACGGATATCTCGCCTTCGCCACAGGTGACGCAAGTTGGCAAAAGCCAAATGAACCTTTTGGAATGTAATGCATTCGTCAGTAGCCCATCATGTCAAGTTTTAATATACTGTAAGAAACCAAGTAATTAACTTTATTTTACAGTGTTCATCGGAAGCAATACCATATTGAGAATTACTTAAAGTATACATTTTCCCAGTTCATTAGTTCGTTTTAATTCTTCTTATTTGTCGTTGAAATGTATTTGACACTGTAATAGAATTTTTAAAAAATTGGTGTTGATTTTTTATTATTCAACAGAATTTCTTACTCTACTTATTTAGGCGTAGTATTATGAAGCTCTTTATAGGATGGTCACTAGTTGATTATTTCTGTTTAATCGAATGAAATTGTCGATGCATTAGAATTTCAGTTGGTATTCATCTCGGCTATATAGATTCATTTATACTTTACATAACTGTAATTTTATAAGTCAACTATATTTTATAGATTTATAAACATTGAATGACGTTGTATATGAAATATTAAAATGATAATCTTATCAGTTTGGTTATCATTATTGTTCAGTACATTTTTTTCATAAGAAAAAATCTTATTTTTCCCATCAGTTTTCTATATTTCTCGTTCTAATTGCATTTGTTTGATTACATCGCTAGGAATAATTTTACAAATTTAGATATTCTTAGTGTTATTCTATACTACTCAATAACTTCATTAGTAAATAAAATAGTCGGTTGTGAGATATCAACTCACCGAAGACAATGGTGTACGGTGGCGCAACTTCGTGGATTGGTTGAAGTTAGGCATTAACACCGTTGGATGCTAGCTCAGTGGTCTAGTGGTTATGTGCTCGCGCGCGAAACCAGTAGGTCGTGGGTTTGAATCTCGCAGGGGGCGAGGTCGTGGATGCTCACTGCTTAGGAGTCCCATACTAGAACGAAACGGCCGTCCAGTGCTTCCAGGTTTCCCATGGTGGTCTAGCTTTAATTGACTCATGATTTCAACCAGTGAGATTTCTAAAAAAAATCTCCACAAAACCCCTTCTGAAAATAAAATAGTATCGGTTTTTTTTTAAAAAAAAAGGTTTCTGTTAAATCGCATATATTATGGAATTATAACCAGATTTATTCAATAGTTATGCTACTTAATATCTTGAATATGTTACTTAATAAATAAAAATGATTTTTTCATAGGTTTTATCAGCTCGAAATCAATTATTGAAAAAAACTCCTATTTTATTAAAAATCTCTCCAGATGAAAATGATCAAAGTTTAAAAGATATAGTAGAAGTTGCTTTGGATTCGAAAGTAAGAATATTTATATAAAATATATAATTCACTTGTTTTTAATTCTAATATTTAAGGTGATATAATGAAATAGTTTAAGAGATCCAATGATGATAAAACTATAAAATCTAAGTCCAGGTAAATTATACTAAACATTTTCCATTAAAATCATCATCAATAATACACTGAGAATTATGAAAAATGTTTATATAAACTTATGAATATGAAAAACTTGTCTAATTACAATGTACTAACATTTTTTGTTTTTCAAAAAACAAAAAAAACAAACAAAAGGTTTTCATTCCATTATAAACTAGTAAATAAATTCATTTATATACAATATGTGATTTATTATTCAAGTTCCATGGAATATTTATGATATAATGGATTGTTTAAAATATTTTCTGTCTCTCTCTCTCTCCCGCTCTCTCTGTAGTATATTACGATAAGACATTAATACGATAATAAGAATGGTTACATTATACCGGAATCAGGATTTATTACTCAGAATAATGATTTTTATTTTATTTTATTTGAACACATAAATATTGGTACAAGACGGCACCAAATATATATGCGCCACACCATATTTGTGTCTCTGTATGTGGGCTGTGATACTGCCCGGGTGCCCAAACTGAAGCAGGTGGTTTTCGTAGGGGGCCATACCCTTAGCCTTTGACCTAAAGGTCTGATCTACAAGGCATTGGAGCATCATGAGGAGATGTAGTCCCATGGAAGCTGGTGACCGAAAATTGGTTCATATGCCATTTGTTCTCGCAGGATACTGGAGTCCATGTGCACCATTGGTTTTGGATCCGGTTAAAGTGCCGAACATTCACTTTCCGTCCTCTCATTTTCGTAGACAACACTCCCGCCACAAAAAGGCAGTGAGTAGGACTTCTCTGGCAGAGGCTGTATACAGAATAAAGAACTAGATTAACACTTTATTCAATACAATTACAAACAGTCATTGTCAGCCAATCCAGATATTAATGACAGGAAGGGAAATCATATATTTGATAGTTAATTGGACTAAATTTCACAGATTGGACTAAATGCCTATTACTCCACGCTCAATGAACAATAATATTTTATTTTCATTACTGCATATCAATTTGTATGAATTTTTTTTAAAGTTAACGGGGAAGTTTTAATTCAATAGTTTAGGTACTTAACTTTCATTGAGATCTTGAACCGATTGATGTCAGACCATCATTGAGAACCTAAAAGCACTAGACGGCTGTTTCATCCTATTGTGGGACTCCTCAGCAGTGCGCGCAAGACTGAAGGCCCTAGGTTCGGATCCCGTGAGCGGGATCGTGAATGCGCACTGCTGAGGAGTCGCACAATTGGACAAAATGGCTGTCCAGTGCTTCCAGGTTTTCAATGGTGGTTTAACGTCAATCGGTTCAAGATCTCAATCAAAAACTCAATAATTTCTACAACCCTATACTGATACTTAATTTTCAGTCAATAAACCGTTCATCAAAGCTACTTTTAATTTGATTATTGACGGTTAGTGTTATGTTTGTATAGTTTCTGATGTATCTGGGGTCTTCCTACCTATACTTGACAGTTGGGAACCACTGTAATTTCCATAATGTGAAGCGATAACACAAAAACTGATATAGATGAAGGCTTATGGACTTTCTAAAATGAGAACCTTAAACAGATTGTCCGAAACTGTTATCGTTAAACCAAATGCACTCATTTACATACTGATTTTACCATTCGCCTGTTGATTAGTCGATAAACGTCATATGAATGAAACGATACAGAGTTACTACAAAATACAAAAAAAGTTAACTGACGGCAATACAAAGAATATAACTGTCATACTGGGCAAAATTTCACACTTATCACACTAATACAAACATATTAACCAGAAATAATGTTACACTGGAAAAGATGAAGCGGTTATCATGCCGACTAGGATATTACACTGCAAATAAAACTAATGTCATAAAATGTTATATCGAGTTAGAGAAAACGTGAACTCGCCTTTTTATTCGGATTTATTGGTTAGTATTATTGACCATTATACAATATGCATACCATCACCCATAGTCATTACTATTATTATTTATTGATTAATGGAACTCAAAGTACACTCTCTCAGTCACTTCCACCCCAAAGTACTCTTCAAAACATTCAATATGTATCTCTTATTACCTTTATAGTTACGTGATTAATTCATAGATAATTAGTGGTCATCAAACTCAAAGTTATTCATAACGGTTATGAATCTGAATAATGATCAATCATTGCTCTTCCTCACGAGTTATGTTAGTTTGGGTTATGGTAGATTGGAAAATAGGTAAATATGATGAATCTGGAATTTGGCATAAGTTTATGAATTCACTGACTTTCGATTTGACCTGTGTAGAGAAGCGCAAACTTCCTGATTAGGGTTTGTGTTGTATTTCTGTTCTGTTGTTAAAACATGAATCAGAATTGATTGCAGTGGTAAAAATGAGTCGATTCTTTATCTTTCTGTAAATACAATTAAACCGTCCATTATAGAGAGCGTAGCACCTCCAAAAACACTTATTTTTATTGATATTTATGAAAAGTAAATGTTTGTGGCTGGATTGAAAATCTGTCTTGTTAGTAACAATTACCTGGATGATGGATAAAATGATGAGAATACTTTAATTTTTGCATTTATTTTGTCTTTTACTCAATTTCATTTTAATTGGTGTGCTTTAACAACTCTTTTTCCAGCAACAATCTGTGTGAATGATTTCAAACAATTAATGTACGCAAAACATGATGAGCATAAATCTAACGGAAGGTTAATAAACTAACATCGTCTTATAAATCGATTGTAGAAGAAACTACCATTGATATTTAGTAATTGTAAACCATTGAGTTGCACGCTGGTTCGAACCATGCTCCTTGTCTACAAATTATGACTCAAAAGCGAGTACATAAACCTACTAATAATGACTTAGGTTGTTTCCATATCATTTAATTCATCCTTAGTTAACAGTACACCTCTTTTCAATTTATAGACTCGAATAGATGGAATGATCATTTCAAACACAACACTTGCAACTTATGAAGAGGCTGTAGCTTGCGGTGCTGCTCCAATACCAGGGAACAATGAACAAAATGTTGTATATGGTGGCTTAAGCGGTCGACCATTATTTGAAAAATCAACAGATTGTTTAAGGAAAGTTTCTGCATTAACCAAAGGTTCTATACCCCTAATCGGTGTTGGTGGTATCAGCTGCGGTGAAGATGCATTGTCCAAGTTGAATGCCGGTGCTAGCTTAGTACAGTTATACACAAGTTTTGTTTATCAGGGACCACCGGTTGCTCATAAAGTCGCTAGGGAAATTAATAAATTAAAAATGACATCTTTAACTCCCGACTAAAAACCTGCTTTTTCTTTCTAATAAAAGAATATTTGTGTTACATTTAAATAGAACTTATTTATACATTGTCTTAAATCGAGTTTTGTTTAGAAACAATACTAGGTCAAATTTATTCTAACAAAAATGTGTGAATTGTTTGTAATGGCATATTCTCACGCTCAAATGGCAATGTGACAGCTGTTGCGTTCCAATTCGTGACTCATTAACAATTCATGTACTCAGACGGCTGTATGATACTTCTTGATTCTCAATGGGCTTTACAGTTGATATCACCTCGTAATTCAAATTAACATCACACTAATCGTATTGCTGACAATTACTTCCGTAAATTATGTACATGATATTGAGATGGAGGATATCTGTAACTTAGTTTGACGTTTGCAAGTGTTGTATGTGCACTAAAACTACTGAGCCATGCTTAATTGTATCGAAGTTCCGCTGATTGACGCTCATACGTTAGTCGTCGTTGGAGCGAAACAAATGAGAGATACATCCCATTGGTTATTTGTTAATACCTAGACTTCATAACATTAGAGTTGCTTAGGGCATTGTTATTCCATTTTTGACCAATACTTGTTCACAGTTATTGGCCAGTATTGACGTATAATGAATGGCAAATTCCTCACAGTTGTTTCTCTCCCACAGTATCCATTTCAAATCACGACAAATAGAAATTCCCAAAATTTTCTTAAGATTTGAACCAGGTTGCTGGGAGAAATGTTGCAATTATTTATACCTTAACCCATCATTTTTCCAAATATATTTTATACATTTAGTGTTTTCTACGTATTTGACCCGTAATTTCAAGCTATAAGGAATAACTATTGCGTGCTGTCACCAAATAGGAGAAAAGATCGTTTAGTCATATCATTTAATTTAAGTCCGTAAAATATATATTTAGTACGTTTTTACATCCTACTTTTAATAACATCATATTGCTTAACTAGTTTTCATTTTCTTAAAAAGGTGTTATTAAATGGACACTGAAAATTTATAAACTGCTTGGCGGTAAACATCGAATTAAGTGAAAACATGGTCAATGCGATAAAATACTGATCATTAGTTTTAATTAATTGGTTCGAAACTTCTATTACCTTAGAAATTAAACGACATAGTTTTCTTGGCTCTATTTTGTTGTATGTTAGCCACCAACAAGAAAAGAGAGATGAGAATAAATAAAACAGAGAAAAAAGGGTGATTGGTAGTTTACAACAATTTTTCAAATAATTTTATTATTTATTTATAAAAGACAATTAAACAGTGTCGATGATGATAATAATGATAACAATACTGATATACAATGACTAGAAATAATGAACAAAGAAAACAGGGAAAAGGAACGGTATCTTTACATTGTATATGGAGAGAATTACCTGGGATAAAAATTACAAATATATAATTACCATTGACACTACATTGTTCAAATAGATTTCAGTTCACAGAGATAAAACAAAAAAAAGAGAAATTACAATGTGACAAATAAACAAACAGGAACGCTGTGTTAAATAAATAAATGATGATATAATAATAATTATGACGGTGATGATGATGATGATAGTAAATGCCTATGAGATATCTAAAAACAAATTGGCATTGAACAAGAGTTTAAAAAAATAGTTCTGAAGCAATGTCAGCAAAATATAATAACAAATCAATAGAACTGCACAATAAACTGAATGTTGGAAGTAAATGGAAGAATCTCCCCACCCTCAAGCAAAAATGGCAACAGTAGATATCTTTCAATGTTACATAACAACAACAATGATAATAAAAATGTTAATTATTGCTGCGATTATGATTAACACAAGTAATAGTCTATTTTACAAAGATTTATAACAGTAAAACTAGTAGAAAGAACTAATCGATTTATGAAGGTAGGGTATGTATATATTATCAAAAGAGAAGTCATCTCACTGATGATGAATAATATCAGGTCTATGAAATAAGAATATTTCATTTTGCATATCTCTTTTGTGCTCAGTGTTTATTTCTTTTTTCAATCCAATGAATGTTTCTCTGAAAAGAAGATTCAAGTAAGGCAGAAATGAGCATGTTAAACGTGAAAACAGTTAAACTAGGACTGGTTACAATCCAAGTAGACCAGTACATCAACCAAAAAAATGATTTATCGGAGAAATCAAAAGGCTCTAGGAAGATTGAACACACTTATAGTAATGTGTATCAATTTTTCAAGATAAAGTGATTTTATTCACCGACTTTCTAAAACTAAGCAAGCTACTGTTTGCGATCCTTCACTATCGATACGAATAGACGCACTTGAAAAGACACTAGCTTTAACATTGATTATTCAGTAGTCTCTTGATAAACAAACTATCTGGAGAATATCTGTGGTTGCATACATGGCACCCACTTTAAACGATCACTTATCACAGCGGGACAGTGAGCCATGTTGTTTTCTGGTTTAAAAAAACTAGATACTCTCCAATGGGCAACACAAATTAGATTATAGTAGCAGATTTTTATTTTCCTCTCACAAACCTGATGGTTTATGGTAGATGAATGGTTAAGTTACGAGATTTTCTAGGTGTTTAACAAACATAGCAATTTTATTTAAAAACAAGACTGAAGGATGTTAAAATGATAATGGCTATACCATTGGTATCAGCTATTCTTTGTTACCATAAAAAAGTGATACCGAAAAGGAACTAATGAAATATAACCTATACCGTACGCTTTACTCAGCTAAACAACTATGTTACACTAAATTATTTCTCCAAGGTTTCTGAGCTATTGTCATTTAGTGATGAAATATATCGAGCAGACAACTAGTGACCTACGTGGACGATTACATTATCCAAAGTAAATAAACCAGCGTGCAACACTAAACTTTCAATTGATAAAACGTTTTGAATGACCTTTATGTGCATTGATGAGATCGATAAATTTCTTTCAATCCGTCTGCCATTGTAATCATATAACTTTGAAATTGAGTGTATTGTATGTATTAGGTATTTGAAAATTAATAAACTGATGTGGACGGTTACATGTAGCCTTTTATGCTAAAGTTTAGTGATTTAAAATGCTTTTCAAGTTTACATCAATCAATGACGAATACACAAAAACACGAGTGTAGAAAGTTTATTATCTCAGCATATATGAAGCTTAATCAAAGATTATTGTTTAGATGAGTAACGAGTTATTCCATTCAATCATTTGACTAAGAGAGGATTAAACTGATATATATGGTCTGTTGAGTACATATGCAAACTAAACCATCAAGATTGTAAATTTTAGAAAATAACTAAACAAAAAGAACAGTCTTGCTGGACTAAAACACTACTTATCACCTTGAAGAAGTTTGTCTTATCCTAAAAGATCCCAGTTATACTTCATTAACAAAAAAGGTAACATAATCTACTAAAAAAATATTTGATAATATCTATGAACTTACAGCATAGAAAGTGATTCAATAGAGAATATTATCATCATGAATGCGAACGAATGAAACATTTGTTGTATCATTTCGTTATAGATAACAATCTTGGTTGTTTTATGATTAGAAAATAACTTGTAAAAGGAACATAACATTGAATATAATAATAAACTGTTAATACAAAAGATATAATATTAATACAAGGGAGGTAAATATATTCCAACCACAAATTCGATGAATATCAATTTCTATTGATGTCTGAATGATGATACAATGGTAGAAGTTGTTGTTGTTGTTTTTGTATCATTATGATGATTAAAAAATACAGATTTCAAAGTGTTGTTACTATTGTTATTCACAAACAATGAGAAACCAGTCATATTTCGTACTGACGACTGATAACGAGTAACCTAAAATTTATAAGAAGTAAAGGTTAATTTTTACAAACAAAAAAACTCAAATAATAATAAACAACAGGCTGAAAAAGCGCTACACTACAAGCATATTTAGTCATATTGGTTGTAGAAAAACGCTTAGATTGTAGTGCTTGAACTATTTTCTAAGCTACTCCATTATAATAATACGTAACGGATAAAAATGCTTAGCATTCCCCACCTTCATCCCATAACGTAGAAGAAATCAATTGCTTTATTATCCGAAATGAAGAGATAAAAGTGATGAATATTTTAGATAGAAAAGTTAGAATAAAAATATTCTCTACAAAAAATATAAAAACGTATGATTATTTATCATAAACCAACTTGATGTTATATTATGACTATAGAGTACGATCGGTATTTTAAAAAAACGGCGAGATTATAATTTATGGACGAACCAATCAGGTCCGCGTGACTTTCGTAACCAATGGTTGGAGACTCTTGGTGACATGGCTCAGAATCGATCACAATGGCGTCGGTGTATACACTCCCTGTCTTCCCTTAAGCTACGAGATTAAAATCACTTCATATCTTTCTTTCTACGAACCAATTCTTTCTTTTTGTACTATATCTCTATATGCAATCTTTCTCTTATATATTACCACCTTTGACCTAACCACTGCTATGAATCCGGTGTTCATCTCGTTGTGCTGATGCGGTATGGCAACCTGGAGCGATGCACATATGTGCCTGGTCCTACGTTGTAGCTGACTGACTGACTGACAAACAGGTATAAGATAGCAGGTTTTGGATTTTGGCGCGAAATTCATAATTCTAATTCCTCACACTGACTGATAACCTTCATTTGATCCAAGTTGTGGATACTCTCAAGGTCACTAAGGCGCCGCTTAAAGGTTATCCATAAATTATAGTCTCACCAAAAAACTAGTATACCATAGTAGTGACCGACCTATAATTCTATACTTCTTTAAATACTTAATTTGTTCAAGATAATGACGTTAACACATAGCAGTATGATATACAGATAAGTTTGCTGTATAGTCTTGGTGATATGAACTCTCTAACAGTTATCTAGTAAATGAATATTTTTGTCTTAAGAACTTCAAATCAAATTTTATGAACGATAAAAAATTATTGTCAGACTGACAAACTATTCTACTGCTACAAAAGTATTTGTATAGAATAGAATATGTACTTTCGACTAAAGACTTGGTTATTAAAGCCATCAAGTCATTGTCTTACTAGCAAAGAATAGAAAATAAAGCAGTCCATAAGACACGTAA